TCTGACAAATGTGCTATAAAACTTTATTTACATATTTGTCATGGAGATGATTGTATTTTTCTTTTATGTAGAGAAATTCATATTTCTATGTTTTCTGGGTACTACCTTCTTAATACACACACACATACACACACACCCACACGTGTGTGTATGTGTGTGTGTATGTGTGTGTATGTATGTGTGTGTATGTATATCCTGTTATATTTTCCTTTTCAATTTTTAATCTTCAAATATTTCCTTAACATGAATTTATTCTAATGTGAGGAGTAAGGTCATAATCCACCTTTCCCTCCTCAATAGTTATCTCTTTATCTCAAATATAATAATCTACATTTTTCTCCTGATAAGAAATACCATGTTTATTTATCATGTAATAAATTCTCATGTACATTTGGTTCATTTTGGAACTTTATTGAATCCCATTGATTTACCTATCTATTGTGAAGCAGTATAATACTCTTAATTTCTTTAGTTTTATGACATATTTTAGTAAATGGACAGGGATAATGTCTCTTGTACTTTTTTAAAATCAGATTTCCCTTGATTTGACTACCTCCATATAATTATTCACTAAGATGATGTTCAAATAAATTTAGTGAAATTCTAAAAAAATTCTGTTGGAGCAATTTCTGGAATCACATTCAGTTTACAGATAATTGATGACATAACTTTATCTTTATATCAATATTTATATATTGATTCTTATTTACGAAAAATACATCCCTTTTATATTTATTTCTAACTGCCCTAAAACACCATATAATCCAATTTAGACCATTTGGTCTGGGATTATAATCATTCCCTTGGATATCATAATAGTTTCCTATCAGTGCTATAACAAATGACCACAGACTTAGTGACAAATTAAGTATCTTACAGTTCTGGAAGTAGAAGTCTAAAGTGAGTTTTAATGGGCTAAAACTAAGGTGTCAGCAGGACTCTTTTCCTTTGTGGAGGCTCTAGATCTTCCTACATTTAGAAGCCACCCTCATTCCTTGGATTTTGGCCCCTTCCTTCATCTTCAAAGCTGACATATTGCATCTCTCTGGCCATAATCATAATACATAATCACATCATTGTCTGAACACAGTTAGTATAGTCTCTCCATTTTAACTACTCACATGACTATTTTGGGTCTTCTCAGAAAATCCAGGATATTTTCCTACATCAAGGGCCTTAATTTATCACATTTGCAAAGTTTCTTTTGGCATGTGAGGTAACTTCACAGGTTCCAGGAATTACAATGTCAATATCTTTGAGGGGTCATTATTTTGCCAATCACAGATACTCTCTCAATTATCTGGCCCTCTTTACCTTTGTTAAATTCAATTAGAAAATCCTAACCAGAGGAGATTTGGATTAACTAAGACTAAGGAATTTAAAGTACAGAATGGCATGTTTTCTTTTAATTGTGCTTAGCTGCCAGGGTATTTATTTTGCATTTTAGATGTCCAGCTATAAGACAGATGGGCCTTTTGTCTGCCCCACAATTCTGCAACATTGCTGTTCAATAGATCCTATCTCTTCCACCCCTCTTCTCTTTTCTCAAACCTCCAGGACATCTTCCCCATTCTCAACCCTAATGCATGAAGCTATTTCCATTTGGGGGTTTGCCTGGGGATCAAAAGTGGCCACACTCAAGCCCATAGTTGATGTCATCATAGCACTTGGCTATGGCCACATACTCAGAAGATCTTAGTAAATATTTCATGTCTAAAAACATCTACCCCAAACAATAGCTTCAAAAACCCTTGGGTGGTATCTAGGTTTTTCTACCAATCACACAATCCCTTCTTTCCTTCACAACTGAGAAAATATATTTGTAAATCATTAAATCTTACTTTGATAGAAAATGTCAAAATACCCTTCCCAAGGCCTGGAATATCTTTGAGCATCTCAATAGTGTAAATCTTTCCCTGGAGGTGTTGGGAATCACATAGTCTCAGAAATAAGCAATGGAGACACAGCCTCCAGCAGAGAAGTTTTTATAAAATTATCTGTTTAGTAAAGTTTATTTATTTAGTGGATTCTTTTAAAAGTAATGAAAAAGAGAAACATAAAATTAACTGGATTTAAAAGCATAGCTACAAAAATATCTATTTCCTCATAGCTTATCTGATTTGCATTCAATACAGGTTTCAAAAACATTTCAAAGTCAACATTTCTATTTATTTATTTATTTTCATACTGGGGATTGAACCCAGGGGCACTTTACCACTAAGCTGCATCCCCAGTCTTAATTTTTTATTTTGAGATAGGATTTCACTAAGTTGCTTAGAGCTTTGCTAAATTGCTGAGGCTGGTCTCAAATTTTCAGTCCTCTTGCTGCAGCCTCCTGAGACTCTGGGATTACAGGCATGTGCCACCATGCTTGACACATTTTTATTTTTTTAAGGAATGAAAAGAACATCTGTGTCAGGTGATACATGCCTTTAGTCCTAGCAACGTGGGAGGCTAAGGCAGGAGGATAACAAGTTTGAAGCCAGCCTCAGCAACTTAGCAAGAGCTTGTCTCAAACTAAACAATAAAAGGGCTGGGGATGTAGCTCAATGGTAAACTGCCCCTGGGTTCAGTCCTCAGCATAAAAAAAAATAAAAACAAAAACAAAAGTCTATATTTATGAAAGGGAAACAGGACAGGACTCTAGGGGAGAGGGTTTATAGCACCTTGTGAACTAAGTGGGAGTGGAGGGAAGATCTCACCTCTATCCTACAAGCAAATCAAGTCAAGGTAAGGCAGGAGGGTCTATCCTTGAGAAAAGAAGAGACATGGGTTGGCTGTCTCTAGTACATGGTTTTCACAACTGCACAAGTGATTTTCTTCTTATCTCTACTGAGGGACTTTATGTAAGATTAGTGTGGAAAGATATAAAAGGGGTAGGAATTTCCTTTCTGCAGGATCTGGCTGTGGTTGTGGGAGCAACAGAATGTGATAAAAGCAGCAAAGCACCTCGCAGTAACATGTGCATCTTGCCAGCCCCCCTAGGCTTCCTCCACTTGTCTTTTCTGAACTTCATCACGACCCTCAACAGAATCTCAGATTCCAGCCTTAAGAAAAAATGTGGCCCTAAGACTTGCCATCCCATAACAAGCTCTGTGTTCTCAGTGTTTTCATGGTATTCTTCCTAGCTTGGTCCTTTGACCACAAAAATCCTGAGGCAAACTGTTTGCTATAGATTGGATGTAGAATGTACCCAGAAGCTCAGGTGTTGAAAACAATAAAGCAATATCCAGAGGTGGGGATTTTAGGAAATGATTGTATCATGAAGAATCTGACATCATTAGTGGATTAATACATTTGATGGATTAAAAATATGAATGGACTACTGGAATGTGATGAAAACTATAGGCAGGTAAGCATGGTTGGAGGAATTAGGGCACTGGGGATGTGCTCTTGGGGACTATATGTTTTCCCTGACCCTTCCTCCTCCCCAACTCCAGTGCCCAGCTTCCCTGAGCACATCAGTGTTCCCCTGCCATACCTTTCTTCCACAATGCTCCAGCTCACCTCAGGCTCACAGCAATGAAAACTGTCTGCCATGGACTAAAGCCTCCGAATCATTACTCCTCTAATTTGTTGTTAGATATTTAAATCTGACTAACATACTTCTCAAGCTTGTGTGTGTGTGTGTGTGTGTGTGTGAGAGAGAGAGAGAGAGAGAAAACAAGTTCCCAAAACCTGATCCTTAGACTCCTAAGCCAGCACTGTTTTCTTTAGGCACAACAGCCAAGAAAACAGCACTGGTAGCACTGTGGGTGATGGAATGTGAGCATATGTGCATATGAAACATAGAGTTGCTCAACCTTGGTGCTTGGGTACTTGGGATCTGATAATTCTTATTGAAAGAGCCTGTCCTGTGGATTGTAGGGAATTTAGTAGCACCCCTAGACTCTACCCACTAGATGCCAGCAGTGCCTTTCCCCCAAGCTGTGACAACCAAATGTATGGGCAAACAATAGCAGATGTTCCCTGGGGATGGGGGCAAAAATCTTTCCTGGTTGTCAATCACATATCTATGAATGTCTGTATGTATACACATATATACACATAGACACATATGTGTCTATGTGTGTGTTATATATATATATATATATATATATATATATTAAACACACACATAGACATATATATATATATATATATATATATATATATATATGCATTTAATATAGATTAGTTGATGAATAAATATCCATGTAGTTTCTAGCTTTTAGAAGCTTGTTATTCCCTTTCTGCTTTCATGTATCATGCACATTGGTCAATATAAGTTTTTATAGGCAGATTTACACTATTGGTATAAAATAAAAGTTGTTCCTTCTGCCTCAAATCAGTTTTCTGCTCCATACTCATACCAATTATAAAGTGCTTTTATAGTAGATAGTAAACATTCAGAGACAGACTTTTTTGGCTTAAAAGAATTCAAGTGCCTATCCCTCATCTTTATGGGAATTAGGACCAATGTCAAAACAACAGTCAAACAAGTGTACCCAGGCTCCAATGTCATCATAGTACAGCCCAATCTAGGCACACCAGGTGCTAGGCTGGCTACACAGGAGTGCATTTCCATGAAATCTCTGATTCTGAGTTTGTATGAGATCAAACAATAAGTTTAACCAAGTGTCAAGGCATTCTTTTCATCTATTTATTTTGAAATCAAGTTGAGGCAGGCACCACTTTTCTTCCAACCCTTTAAGCTGAGCTTCCTGGAAGTGCTTTTTCACTGGTTGTTGTGAAACTATGTAGATGGGTGAGATGTACATGGCTTTGCTTTGTAATGCCCAACGTTGACCTTCCCTTTCAACTATGTGTTAGCTGACATGCAAATTGTCCTACTTGGACATGTCTTTCAAAATGGACATGAATGCTAGCCAGTGACCAAGAAGCTGCAGTTTCCTTCCTGTGTTAGTGTGAGGTGTGAGAGGAGTTTGAAGCTTGTAGCTTTGGCAGAGCAGATGTTTGACTCGTAGCATTCCCCAGCAGAAAGGCAGACAGGGCCTTACCTTTGGGAATGGTGATCTGACAGCTCAGGTCACAGTCCTGCTGCAACTGATAAAAAGCCACTTCCTGCAGTCGAGCCCGTTCCAGCTCCGAAAGACTCTGGATGGGGACTGACCTCAGCCGAACGCTGCGGCCTGACATGCTGTTCCAGGTGAAATCACCCTGTAGGCCAAGGGAAAAACATCGAGAGTCACACCATTCACCTACTTCTCCCAAATCTCATCCTCTCTCCTTGTCAGTAATCAAAACAAGAAAACTCCACCTTTGTGTTCCACAATTGTTTCTCCATTTCCCAAACAGATCCTCTGTTGGTTTATCATGGCTTTTCTCAGTGAGTTGCAAAAATAAAAATCTAAATTAGCTGCTGGGTCACATGATCTCATCTGATGACACAGACACATGCCAAAGAAACTATGTGGAAAGATGGTGAGAGGGTCTTACTTCCTCTTTTTTAGAGGAATACATAGGAACTTTTTAGTTTTCACATTTCAGTAACAGGAAAAACTGTGCTGCTAACTGCTGTCATGCACACTAGGAAGAGGGAGGTCAATATATTTTGAGATTCTATCATGTGCAAACAATTGTATAGGAGCTTTTTAGTTAATACATCCAATGAGATGATGAGGTGGTCGACATTTTTACCCTATCTTATATAATATTCAATAATATAATATCATATACTAATATAATATAGTATATGATTATTCAGTTTTGTCTTGGTATCTATGCTGGATTGGTTTCAGTATCCCATGGGGATACCCAGATATGAGGATTCTTAAGTCCTTTATTTAAAATGAGAGTATTTGCATATAACCTAACCTACCTACTTTATCCTATACACCATCTCTTGATTAATTTTAATGTCTAATACAATATAAACACTGTAAATAGTTGTTATCCTATATAAAATAGAGAATAATGACAAGGAAAAAAGTCTATATATGTTCAGATCACTTTTTTTTGTTTTAGAAAAATTTTGAACCATAGTTGGTTGAATTTGAGGATGTGGGACCCAAGGATACGGAGGGCTGACTGTTCTTTTAGCATATAATATATCATATACTTATGCTTCTATAGTATATATTAACAATATATTTTATTATTATAATTATATATGCTATATATTACTACAATATTAATATAGATGATGAAACTGTGTCTGGAGCAATTAAATAATTTTCACCAAATTATGAGAACTCAAGGTTAAGAATATATGGCATTAAACTCTATAGAAAAATTGTAACCACTGAGTTTCTAGTTACAGCACTTTCATGAGCTATTTCAATCACAAGAAGTACAGAGATATAACAAATAACAAATATTCAAAAAACATTTGATATTGAAATATTTCATCAAAGAGTCACAGTAAAGATTCCCACAGTTACAAGGGTGCATTTGTATGCATGCATCCTTGCCTCTGTTGTCCATTGAGAGTTTTGGGCTTCATCTCAATGACAACAGTGAGAAATTGATGGCCAATGAAAGAATATTTCACAATCTTCTGAAACTTGTGTGCCTTACTGAAGAGGACTTCCTGAAAATCACAGATGCCAGCCAGTGCAACAGATTTGAAAAGATAGCTATTCCTCAACAATCAAGAAAATTTCTAGGGAGACAGAGAGTTGCTGGCTCATAAAGCCACTGTCAAGGACCCATTGCAATGAGCAGAGCATTTACATAATACTCTAAGACTTAACCATCTTGAAGAAGTCACTCATCTAAAAGAAGGGAGACTGAAAGACTGACCTAGAAACCCTTAAGATACTTTTGTTCCATACTGGTGGCAACTTTCTCCCTCAAATGTTAATTCCAAAGAGTGAATGACACTATGCTAATTATTCATTATTTTTCCTCTTTAGCTTGGATTTCATTCTTCATTTAATAAATGGAGACATTATAATTTAATGGAGGCAGAAAATGAACAAAGTAAGTAAAAGTTGTAGTGCATTAAATATGCTAGGAATTGCTAGGGAGGAAAAAATCAAATCAAGGAAAAGGAAGTAGCGGAAAAGGATTTATGGTTTTAGATAGAAAGACTGGACAATATTTGAACACGGGCTAAAGAAGTGAGGGCTCTTGGTTTGTTAGTCTTGATAGGAAGAATATTAAGAGGTGCCTAGGAGGAACTCAGGGAAGATGCTTTGTGAAAGGGTGCAGGGAGATGAGTGAATAAGCAAATCTAGGTAAAGTGGGTAGGCTGTGGTCACACTTAGTGAACTGAAGGGGAGTGTTCCATGGCCAGTGTGTTTTGGATGTTTTTTCTTTTTTTGGTATAACTAGACTAAGTACAAGTTTAAACAGTCAGGAGTTGGGGCCTGGGATCTTAGGTATGACTCTCAGTTCTACCCTCTAAGCTTAGTATACCACAAGGCACATTATCAGAGAATTGCTTTTTTCCCCCCCCAAAAAATAAGAAGTTCCAGATGCATTTGTGACTTTTACAAATGAAGTTTAAGTACCTAGAGGAGCTGATTTCTATTTGAAATGTCAAAATACAATCACATACCTGTTCTTTAAAAGCATTTAAACATGTGACCTACAATGGGCTTAATCATTTATAGCAGATATTGGCATTCTTTTTCTGTCAAGGGCCAGATAGTAAACATTTCATACTTTGTGGGACATGGGTCTCTGTTAAAACTATTTAATGTTGCCTTTAAGGCATAAAAGCAGCCATAGATAATTTATAAATGAATTTGTGTGGCATAGTTCAATAAAACTTTATTTATAAAAACAGAAGGTAGACTGGATTTGGCTGGTGAGCTGTATTTTTCCAATTTCTGAAGTATAACTTATGACTGAAATAAATCAATTCCTAGAAAAAACATTTTGTTCTTATTTACTATACCCTCTTGTTGAATTAATTCAATCAATATTTAATGAACATCTATTACATTCTAAGCACTATAGTAGGCTTGGAATTATTAAAATGACAACATAATCCTTGTCTTGAACCTTCAGGTAGGAAGAATACAAGCAGTCTATAAAAATACACAAATGGTGATATTAGAATTAAGTACCAAATGCAATGGGTGCCTAAGAGACAAGACTTTTCCATATGTCTGGAAGCCAAGAAAAGCTTTGTAGAGAATTTAGTATTTCATGGAGACTTGAAAGTCAAGTAAGGGAAATAAATATTTGTCCAGTAGAAATTGTACATTGGTGAAAACCATGAGTGCAAAAGCAAACAAGTTTGAGGGAACAGGCTTATTCAAGAATCACAAGCCTGGAAGGATGGATAGAGCAGGGGGTGAAACCAAGCAGAAGTCAGGGCCAGATGCTGTAGAACCTTCTCGTAAGCAATACAAAGCAGATTTTGTTCTCCTCCATAGGTGCTTTCTAGTCACCTAGCAACACTGAGAGTGACATGGTCATATTTGAAAATGAGAAAAGATGATTGGAAACAAAATTATTCAGGTATTGAAGGGGAGAACAAATTAAAGGTGCATTGATAAGAAAAGACATTGGGTTATGTATGATGATGATTCAAATATGAACTGATATTTTGATGAGTCCTAAATTGCTAGTTTACAAAGGTAGAAAATAAATGCTATAAGATGATCTGGGGAAGAGCTAAGCCCTGACACCCAGGTCCACCCATCAGACCTCATAAGAGACATGAACACAAAGGTCAATGTTGCCACAAAGTGACAAACACTCAGGAAGAGTTCCAAAGCCCACCAGCAAAGCCTAGAATGTTTCTGGCTCTTTCTCAGTCCTCAAATGTGCAGTCTAGACCAGCGTTTTCCTTTGATGACTGTTTATCTCATAAATGGTTCACTCATTAAGGCTTTCTGCATCCAGTCTTCTGAGTGCTCATCATAGGACATTATTTTAAGAATGGGATCCTAATTAAAATAAGTCATACTCCATGTATGTATAATATGTCAAAATATACTCTAATGTCATGCATACCTAAAAAAACAAATAAAAATGCAAAAAAGAATTAAAAATGGATAATTTGAAATTTGGTTCAATTTTTTTTAAAAATGTAGATGAAATTGACATTGGTCCAATGCTTCTGAACAGACTAAGGACTCTGACAGTTACAAAAAAAAAATCCTTTTGGGGCTGGGGTTGTGGCTCAGTGGTAGAGCACTTGCCTCACATGTATGAGGCACTGGATTTGATCCTCAGCACCACATAAAAATAAATAAACAAAATAAAGGTATCATGTCCATCTATAACTAAAAAATATTAAAAAAATCTTTTTATTCTGGGCTATTACATAACAGCATTAATAAAGGTTAGAATGTGTGATAAAAATGATATAGCACAGTGGTTCTTTGGATGGTAACATTGTCCCCAAGGAGCCATTTGGCAATGTCTGGAGATATGTTTTTTTTTAATCACAACTGGAAGGGAAGGTGTGTTCATGCTACTGGCACCTAGAGCATAAAAACCAGGAATTCTGAAAAATCATCCTAGAATGCACAGGATAAACCCCACAATAAAGAATCATTTGGCCCAAAATATCAATAATTGAAACATTGATTTAGAATAAATTGGTCTGCTGTTAGGCTCAAATTACAGATAATCACTTTAAAACGATGGAGTCATAAAATGTTAACAATCATTAATACAGTTTGTTCATGCTCAAAAGCATAAACTATATATTCATATTCATTATTCTGTATACTATATACATAAAAAGCATCACACAACTTATTTTTAACTAAACTTTAAGAAGCACAAACTCCACAAACCAATTTACAAGAAGCAAACAAAGAGTTGCAATACAATAGAATCTTGTTTAGCTGGAGAACAACTCACTCACAGTATTAACTGAGGAGATTTCCTTCCCACCAGAAGTCTATGTCTCCACCTTTAGACAAAAGAAGCAAACTAGAAACCTAAATTACAACAAACTAATATCTATATTTTATTCAGAAAGGTCATTCTTTTGAACTAATCTGCATCTTCACAAATAGAGTTGACTTTCTCATGAAATAAAATTGATTGAAATAATTTTGGTTTTGGTCTACACCACATTGTTTTCATATGTCCTTGAAGCTGGTCTCTAGTTGCAGCATCTCTTTATTCTCATCCAATTATCAACATAGACCAAGGGAGCCAGCAAGGGATGATGCTGCTCAAAATGCAGTCTGCAGGCCAGCCATGCCAGAATCACCTTGGACAGATGATGGTTGTTAAACATGTTG